TGACCAAGATACAGGACAACACAGATTGAAGAAATTTCCATCAGCACAGAACATTCAGTTGGACAACACTGGGTTACAACACAAAACACTTTGATTTGAGGAAACATGTTTCCTGTGGTGCACTTTCCTTCTTAGATATGATTTCATTATACAATCAGTGTCTATTTTCTCCCCAAAGCTTGCAGTATAAATAATGGACTCAGAGGTTTTTCATCTTTGGTTAATATCTCCTCCTTTCACACTTGCTTTTCCAAGGGAACTCTTCCATGGATGGCTAGATAAAGATTATGAAGTAGACCAAGTTCTTAATCCCTTGGCATCCCTTTTTGGATGGGGGAACGCCCAACCAAATCTTTTTTTACACACCTCTCCTTCTAGGTTGTCCCTCATTCCATGTATTTCCCCTCAAGCAGTAGCTACTGCTCCTTGAGGCAGTCACCATATAACTTAGTTGCCATCAGGCAGGTTGGCAATGGTCTAAATGTGTTGGCTTGTGTGTGTGGTGGGGGCAGGCTGGCACAGCATGAATGTGAAACTCAGTAATTAGCAAAGAAATGATTTACTGGAAACTGAGTCAGCTAAATTTAACAAATAATTGCTAATATAATTGTTTTTGTTTTCCTAATAAGAAGCAAATTATCTTAGGGTATTACAGGGATCTTGTTTTTTTAGAATACACAAGAAAAAAGCTGAAAGCAGTGTAGAATAAAGTGAGATCTTTGTTGTTTCTACTTCTACAGCTTTTGATATAGGAAGTAAAGGGTTGGAATATTAAAGGCTTACCAGCGTTCATAAATCAGTTCAGAATTAATAAGATACTATAGCCAGCATTTATTGTGCATTTAATATGTGCCAGGCACTGCTTTAATTGTTTTACTTGTAATATTTCATTTATTATTCCCAACAATTCTTTAACTACTGCTGTTATCCCCCATTTCACTGATAAAGAAGTAGAAGGACTGAGAGGCTAGGTAACTCCCTCTAGAGTCACTGGGTTATTAAATAACCATGTATAAGTGAGCTAGACTAGTGCTTCAAGCATAACTTCAAGCTTCTATAGCTTAATCCTAATACATGGCTTGAAGAAGCCATCAAAATTCCTAGCACCAGTTATTGGATTACATCCCATTAAGGACTTGAAATCTTTGCTATACCTGTTTATCGAGAAGCAAGCAAGACAAGAGACTCTATGTCTGTTGGTTGGTTTTGTGAATTCCCCAAAGCTGGAATGACTTGAAGTTGTAAAAGTTTGCTTGAGAATCAGAAGTCAAAGATAGGTGAAGGGATGATTGAAAAAAGCAGAATTTAGGGAACCAGCAGTTAGCGTAATGGCTATGTTGCTGGACTCCCACGTAGTCGACCGCGGTTCGCGTCCCGGACCCGGTGACTTAAAATTCACACCGGGCGCGTGTGCATGCGTGCCCAAGATCCCGAGAGGAGAATGGAGGAGAAGGGATTGCGGCGTGACCATCCCCCCTGGGGGGGGTGATTTCTCGTTTTCTGTCTCTCTGTCTCTTTCTGTCTGTCTGGCGAGCGCACGTGCCCTATAGTGAAAACCTCTCAAAAAAAAAAAAAAAGAAGAATTTAGTGGTAAAATATATTCACTTCACATCTTTATTCATTTAAGTCTCGCTTTATATTGACTTAAATTCATTTATGTCAATAATCAGAGATTGCAAATTATTTTTAAATACTATTATTTTTCTAAGAGGAAAAAAAAATGAATTGGCTGAATCATATGCTTATTTTGGTGCTGCTACCATAATGGTTCTTGATCTTGGCTGCCCATTATAGTCACTTGGAGGAGTTTAAAAACTTCCACTGCTGGGTGCCAGGTGGTGGCATAGCAATGTAGCAGCTAGGATCCATGTGGGAGGGTCTTCAGTTCCTGTCCAGAGATCTCTCTGTGCTTATAGAAAGGGCATAAGGGTACCTATGATCTAGACTGACTGAAGCTGGAGATGGATGCCCTATTGGGATTGCCTGTCTTTCTATCTGACTTTCTTTCTCTCTATCTCTCTCCCTCATGGAATAAGTACATAAGGAAAACATTTTTTTTCAGAGATTTTTACTATAGGGAGCATGTGATTGTCAGAGACAAAAAGCAAGAAATCACTCCCCAGGACTGATGCCTACGCTGCAATCCCTTTCCTCCATTCTCCTCTAGGGATTTTTGGCATGCACGCACACATGTGCCTGGGTGCCAAGACTCGAACTGCAGTCGACCACGTGGGAGTCCAGTGACATAACCACTATACCATCTTCTGGTCCAACTTCTACTGCTTTTGTCTCTTTCTATCTCTCAATCACTGCAGGACCCAGGAATTAGTATTTTTTTTTTTTTTTTTGGAGAGGTTTTTGCTATAGGGCGCATGCGCTCACCAGACAGACAGAGACAGAGAGACAGGAAGCGAGAAATCACCCCCCAGGGGGGATGGCCACAACGCAATCCCTTCTCCTCTATTCTCCTCTCGGGATCTTGGGCACACACGCACACGCGCCTGGCGTGGGTTTAACCCACTGGGTCCGGGACTCGAACCACAGTCGACTACATGGGAGTCCAGTGACACAGCCATTATGCTAACTTCTTGTCCCGCAATTAGTATTTTTAAAGTTCCCCAGATGATTCCATTATACAGTCATGCTAAACTATGGCTCTAAACAAAATCTATTTTTTACTTGGAACAGTGAGGGAATTGCAGGTACTGTTTTCAGAAATAAGTAACAAGAATCTATAATTTGGGTTTTAGCTCTTGAAATTGTGGTACATACTTGAATACTAAATATTTTGTCAGTACACTTGAAGTAAAACGAATAGACAGTTATGGTGCCATTCATTCGCAGTTTCTTTCAATGACGTCTCAGTGTGAGTCAAATGGTTTACTGCTCTACAATATCACATACATAAAAGACAAACTATTCACGCATTTCATTAGAAATGCCATTTTAAGCATAACATTTAGACAAACTGAATACTGCATGGTAGCATTTCTCATAATGCCTCAGCTAACATCTAGCTAACAGGGGCCTCCATTCATATCTTTGCTTGAACATGTTGTGAACTGATTTTAGCCAATTTGGTAATTTGGTCATTTATAATTTTCAGGTACTTTGGTAAACACTGGTTATATTTGCTGATTGGAAGTAGATGGAAAGTATTGGGAGATAATTCATCTCTTTTTCTTTGTTTTTATTTTGCTTTTTAAGTTTTTGTTATATGGTATGTGTGCTCACTGGAGAGAGACAAGAGAGACAGAGGGAAAGTGAGAAATCGCTTCCAATGGAGTGGCCACGCAGAAATCCCTTGTTCTTCATTCTCCTCTCAGGATTTTGGGCATGCACGCATATGTGCTCAGCATGAATTTCAAGCTACCTGGTCCAGGGCTTGAATTGTGCTTGGCCATATGGGAGTTCAGTGCCTTAACCACCATGCCACCTGCTGGCCCCAGTAATCCATCTCTTTCCCAAACTCAAAAATTCTGCCAAGTATACCAGCATTTATAGGCAAAGGCATAAATACCATTAAGTAATCTGTATTTGTAAAGCCAGGAAAGTTCCCTCTCAGTTTATGCAAGATCTTTTATAGAAAACTTCAGTCCAACCCAAACTCAGGATGAGAGCCAAAACTCTATCATTTGTCACATTTTAAGTGACAGATTCTCCGAAGTGGATCCACAGTCAAATATGGCTCTAAATCTGGAGGGCTACTAAGGACTAGAATTACAAGTTGCTTGGATTGTCATACATCACCATCCGTTATATGGATTTCCTGTTTTCTGATGTAGACTTTGATAAAAATAATTGAAATGTCAATTAGTTCTAGGATGGGCTCTTGAAAGGAGTACTTAAACTCCTAACTGCCACTAGGATATAATTTAAAATTAACTTATGTGTATAAAATAGAGACAAATGATATGCACCTTTGTATCACCATGAACAGTAATATTAAATATTACAAGTTAATTTAAAAAATTAGAAATATAGTTTTGGAAGGGATTCTTGCTATGCCAGTTTGGCATGACTGACTCATTAAGAACTATACTGTTGAGGGGCCAGCAGGTGGCATGGTAGTTGTGGCGTTGGATTTTCACATGGCCGACTGTGAATCCTGGATCCAGGTGGCTTTAGAATTAGGCTGGGTGTGTGTACGTGTGTGCATGTGCGCATTCCTGGAATCCTGAGAGGAAAATGGAAGAGAGGGGATTGCCGCATAACCATCTCCCTTGAGGGTGATTTCTCACTTTCTCTCTCTCTGTCTCTCTCTGTTAAGCTCCTCATAGCAAAAACCTGATTTAAAAAAAAAATAAAAAAGAAAGAGAAAGAGAAAATGAGCCATACATACTCTTAAGAATTAGTGTTTGAACCTATTACTCACAACTAACTTATATCTTGCTGTAAATTCCCCCACCTCAAACCAAATTTATTAAAGCATATGGATTTTACTCTCTATTACCAAACAGATAATACCTGGTTTTACTCATACTCCTTAATAACTATACCTCAAATTCAGCGTAGTTGTACCGAATATTCCTTATCTAAAGACTGAGTTTTAAAGTTAATCTCCAGCAGCTTGCACTGTATATAAAAATAAAATAAGAAGGAAGAGAAAAAATGGTTACCATATGCGAGTAAATACATGCATATAACAGCAAAGGGAATCTACATAAAGCTACTGCAGCCCTCATTTCTGTAACTGGCCATAAGGCTATAATTGATATCTATTGCTTCCTTCTTGCGGTAATTTCTTCAATTCTTTCACTCTTAGTCAAAGCCTCAGGTGGTCAGAGCTCTTCACTGAGACAAAATTTCATTTCCAAAGGGTAAAAAACATTAAAAAAAATTGTTTTTGCCTTAAAATTTACTATTGGTTATGGAATACCAAACCATATCAGAGAATTCACTAGGTTATAGACATAGTCCAATGGTAAACAAGTTTCCCTTTATTAATCAAACTTAAATCAAGGTTAATCCCCCACCCCCACCCCCAGTGTGATTGTGTGTGTGTGTGTGTGTGTGTGTGTGTGTGTGTGTGTGTTGACCTGTTGGCTAAATGGCATCACGAACCCAGGATAGCTAGGTGATGGTCTCGTCTCTATTCGGTGGCATCATTTTAGTATATTCTGATGGAAGCACTTCCTCTTGGGACCAAGACTTCCAGATCAGTAGAGTTCAAAATTCTAGAACAAGAAGGAAAAAAATATCAATGAACAGATTATTAGGCTCAAAGAGTGATGTTTGCTTCTCTTCTTCTAAACCATACTTCCTGGACCTATATCTTCTGGTTATGGGAGAGACAGCACCATATAATGCTGTGTGACTCATAACAGGCATTTCATGCTATAAATCCAATTGTTTCAAGGATTTTCTCCCAACTCACACCATAATTGAGTTTCCAGTAAGTCTTATAATTTGGTAAGCCTTTTACCCTTTAATTAGAAGAACCACTTCTGGGTGATGGGGTATATGGTAAATTAATTTTATAGGCATGAACCCATTGCTTCCCTTCCTTTCAAACAATTTCTTTTATCAAGTGCAGAGCTACATGGAATATCTAGGGAAAAACAACAAATTGTTAATATTGATAAAATTATTACAGGGAGGGAAGTCACTCCACCAAGGATCAATCTCTGCTCCCTCTATGATGAAAGTGATCTACTACAGTCATCTGCATAGACTGATAACAGTCAAAAGCAACCAAGCTGCTGACTGATATCTCTGCAAGTGATACTGTATCCATGGATCAATGTTTTTCATGACTTTGGGGAAATTAGACACTCAGCCTAACTGGCATTAACCAGGCCAACCTTGGTGAAGGCAAGTCCTTATTTGTTAGTCCATGCATATCTTCCATACCCACAACGAAGGCTACTTTGTTTATGGACCTATTGAGCCAATACTGGATGGCTAAGGTAAGAGGCTAACTAGACTAACCATGTCACTTCACTCACCAGATTATTAAGACTATTTGCATGAGTGATTGCTTTTTGGTGAACATTCCAATGGAGAATAATCAGTACCAATTTTGCAAAAGAATGACTGTCTGAGCCAGCAGGTGGTATGGAGGTTAAGGTGGCTGGATCCCACATGGCTGACTCTGCAGTTTGAGTTCTGGACCCAATGGCTTGAAAAATACTACAGGTGTATATTCATGCATGCCCCAGATCCCAAGAGGAGCACTGAAGAGAAAGGTTTTTGGCATGGCTATCCCCCTTGAGTGATTTCTCACTTTTCCTCTCTCTTTCTCATCTCTGTGTCTCTCTTTGGCAAGTGCACACACCTTGTGTTAAAGAATCTTAAAAAGGGACGAGCAGTTAGCGTAATAGCTATGTTGCTGACTCCCATGTAGTCAACCATGGTTCAAGTCCCAGACCCGTTGGCTTAAAATCACGCCGGGCCCATGTGCATGCATGCCCAAGATCCCAAGAGGAGAAGAGATTGCGGCATGGCCATCCCCCCTATGGGGTGATTTATCACTTTCTATCTCTCTGTCTCTCTCTGTCTTTCTGGCAAGCCCACATGCCCTATGGCGAAAACCTCTCGAAAAAAAAAAAAAAAAAATCATTTATTGGGGGAAATCAAATCAGGTCGAAAAAAAAAAAAAAAAGATCATTCATTGGGGCAAGTCAAGTCAGGTCATTGGCTGCCAGAACTAGAGCTTTTCTGGTATATGGACCCAGTAGTACTCTTGTAGGCTGTCCATATAATTTTGTTTCTAGAAACACTGTTATACAATGTTATCAGTTACCCACTGCCAAATATTTCTGCAGGCTAAGAAATTATGATCACTGATATAT